CTTGAATAAGTTGTAAGTTAAAATAAATTTTTATCATTTTTTTCGGCGCGTTTTTGAACCTATTTGGCTTTTTTGGTTAGAGTAACGTGGAGAAAATCGGCTACACCATTGGCTGGATTGGTGCCGCTATGTATTTCGCTTCCCGGGTGCCCCAAATTATGCAAAACGTAAGTTAAAAACTTATGGGAGCATTTGTTCGATATTTAGCCAAATAAAGTAAATTACTTCCTGAGAGAGTGACCTTCTGCTAAGTAAAGTTATTTTGTCGACAGTTCAAACGGAAGTCAACGGAGGGCCTCAGTCTTTACCTCTTCCTTCTCGCTATTTTTGGAAACATATTCTACGGCCTTCAGATCTTCATCAAATCAGTCGAACCCGCTGACCTTGTAAGAGCGCTTCCTTGGATTCTTGGAAGTTTGGGCATTTTGATATTCGATTTCATTGTAAGTTATACATACCGTCACCAATTCTAATATCCTTCACTGCTTTAAAGTGCTTGCATCAAGATAATATGACAATGCCTAATGTGATTATTTCACTCCAATAACGAGGAAACTAGTCATCAATTTTCTTTTATTACAGATCATTGGCCAGTTCGTTGCATACCGTCACAATACAACAGACGCAGACCTCGAAGATGAGGATGATGGGAACAAGAGCGAGGATGAAAAGCTCCCTGTCATATAAGAATAAATATAATTTCTTGATTTCCGAAAATTTATGCAAAGGATTTCTGAAAATACTTACCAAATCTTGCCAAAAGTCTGATATGAATATCGACGCAGTTAGCATCTCTTGTGTTATTTTGTTTCCCCGAAAACGGCTTAATTATATTCTTACCCATTACTACCCAAGGCAGAAATTGCAAAAACAGTGGATAGGCTTTAAAAGCTCGTCCAGTGCACATGTCTGTAAATGAGATGCAGAAAATTAAAAAATTGGCGTTTATAATGAATTGAACGAAAGAATTAACACAACCTCGTAGACTTAGCGGGCTGCGGGGTTTAATTGTGGGGAGAACAGACCAAAGGGGGCTTTGAAGTTTTCTCTGACGATTTAAGATGCGCAAACTCATGTAAAGGAACTTAGTTGTTATGATTGAGTGTCGACTTAATCAGTTTAAGCATTGTGCCACGGGTTCGTTATACTTTCATATGTCGGGTTTGTATTTTCTACATTTGTTATAAAGCTCAGCACCCTATCGTCCCATTTTAGAACTTGTATTATAAAAAAACGAATGGAGGTCGTGTCCACAGTTCTCGGTCGCGCCTTTCTTGTAGTTTGATGAAGGGAACTTTTCGCGACAATAATCATTGCTAATAAAAATAATAATTGTTTGTAGTTGGCACCGACTTATAGGCCTTACTTTTACAAAGTCAGAAAAATTGGACTCGAACCTAATTACTTTAGACAGCAAGGCATCACTCGATACATAACGCTGCGCGGTCTTCGATTACCGAAATGCGATTCAATGCCATTGAAGCACCTTCTGTCAGTGATAGTGAAGGTCGTTCCCCTAAGAAAATTGAGTTTTGTGCCCAAAGAAAACTGTAGTTTGGCCTAGCCTAGCATACGCCTACTCAGACCAATGCAAGTTATCCACATGAATATGCTTTATTCTCCCATACTGTTAATGCGACGATATTACGCACACCAGTACACCTTTAATAAAATTGGATGATCAGTTGCTAGGGTGTTCTCTGCCTGCAAAGTTGTTGACAAAGGTAAGCAGAAGGTGTATGCTACTCCGAGAGTAAACGATATGCAATCTCGTAGTAGCCCTTAATAACTCGCGTTATTCTCTCGCGAAGCAGAGGTCACAAACTGTTGCGGAACTCATCAGCCGGCTTGGGGCAAAGAGGGGTTTAGAAATATTTGCCCTGAGTAGAACGGTTTGCTAGATGATTGTGGTTCGTTAACCTCAGACACCTTGTCAAAAAATAACATAAAACCACAACCCTCCTCTACTCTCGTCTACCTCTCCCCACTATCCAGCCTGCATGGGCTCATTTAGTCGAGCAAGCTGTGACGTTCGTTCTCTTTTAACCAACGCAGTGACCAACTGCTCAGTTCGGAGCAATATTCCGACCGCAATGAGATTGGCTTCGTAGTTCTCATTAAGACTCACTTTCCTGCAAAAAACTGAAAAATCAACCTTGGGAGGCAGAGCAACGGAGTGCTGGGTTGACGTTTTCCCTAAATAGACCACCAGAAAACTTTCCTCACTACACGGGAAGAGACGCTGTCTTAACTTGAACTGAAAACTCCGTCCTAAGTGCAGAAGAATTAAATGAGATGGAACCGTGTAATTTTCATGAATCCGTTTTTTATATCTAAAATGACGCTTCGGTAAGGTTGAAGTGTATGGCCGCATCAGCAGGAAATCGAAACGGAAACCACCCACAATACACCTTGCTTTGAATCAACCTGCGGGGAGAAGTAGGTTTAGGATTAAGGTGAACGTTAGAGGTAAGTTAAGCTTTAAGTTGCAATTTGGGATTAAGGTTAGAGTGAGGGCTAGGGTCAGGAGTATGTTAAGGATTAAGGCTTGTGTTCAGGTAAACTGCAGGGTTTAGGCTTCTGGTAGGGCTAGTGTTAAAATGAAAGTTATAGTATAGTTTTATGTTGAGGTTAGTGTTAGCGTTAAGAAACGGGAATTCTCATTCTTCATAAAACTTATAGCAAGGCCCGTTATTTTAAGTGGGCTGGGCATTCCTATTTTTGTCAAGTTTAGACGGCCATACAGGTCATCTTTACTGGGGTTTCATGTGGAACTTCCTTTTAAAAGAGATAACGAGGAGCTGATACATTTATGAGTTGAAGCGCCTTCTCCGATTAGTTGTATCTGGACTGTGTGGAACACTCGCCGGCATGCATTCGCAATTGGATCACTAACGTGAGGTAAAGTACAGGGAGAGAGATAAGTTTTATTTCGAAAATATTATTTCAAAATCTTCGGAGAAAAAGTCTTCCATACACAGGGAAAGAAATAGAGCACGAACTCACAACATCCGGAAATCAAAAGCAATCCATAACCTCCAG